GGATGGTTCTTCTCCTGCGAGATGGGAGATCCACTAATTAAGACGTATCTATCAAAGCTCAAGAACAACCAGTGTTCTTAACCGCTAAGCCATCTCTCCAGCCCAAATAAAAATAGCTTTAAAGATTTTTTTATTTTATTTTTATTTATTTATTTTTTTTGAGACAAAGTCTCCCTGTATCTACAACCAGCCTAGAACTCACTATGGAGACCAGGCTGGATCTCAGAGATCCCCCTGCCTCTGCCTCCCTAGTGCTGGGGTTAAAGGTATGTGCCACCATACTGGGCATCAAAATGAAAATAGCTCCTTTTAAAAAGTAGTCAATGTGGCTGGGCGTGGTGGCGCATGCCTTTAATCCCAGCACCCGGGAGGTAGAGTCAGACGGATCTCTGTGAGTTCAAGGCAGCATGGTCTACATAGTGAGTTCCAGGACAGCTGGGGCTACAGGGAGACCCTGTCTCAAAAAGACAAAAAAAAAGTAGTCAATGAAGGGCTGGAGAGATGGCTTAGTGGTTAAGAGCACTGACTGCTCTTGCAGAGGACCTGGGTTCAGTTCCAACATGGCGTTAACATCCATTTGTAACTCCAGATCCAGGGGAACTGACACCCTCTTCAGACCTCTGTGAGCACTGCACAACTTGGGTACACTTACATATATGCAGGCAATACACTCATATGCATAAAATAAAAATAAGTAAAATATTTTTTTTAAAGTAGTCAATGAGGTGGCAGATTCCAGATCTAGGAAAGAAAGCCATTAAAAGACTATTGGGGGCAGAAAAGAATAGCTCAGTGGTAGAGTGCTTGAGGCCTTGGGTTTGTTCCCCAGCACAGAAGGGAAAAAGACCGCTAGGAAGCCAGAGTATTGGTGCACACCTGTAACACCAGCATTCTGAAGGCTGAGGCTGAGACAGAAGGATTGAGCTTGAAGTCGGTCTGGGCTGTACTGAAAAAATTAAAAAAAAAAAAAAATTAACAAAGCAAAAACAAAATAAAAGTTCCATTAGGACCATTTGAAAAGAACTGAGGAGGCATCCTAATGGTGTCCCCTTAATCAAACGAGACAATCTGAAAATTTATAAGGGTAACAAAAATGGACCAACACACCAAATGTTTATTTTTAACATTATTATTATGAGTGTGTGTGAGCACGTGTGTGAGCCATGTACATACCATGATGCACATGTGGAGATAGGAAGATGACTTTCAGGAGTCACTTCTCTCCTTCCATATTAGGTTTTAGGAATGGAACTCAGGTTGTCAGGTTTTCATGGTGAGCATTTTTACCCACTAAGACATCTTAACAGCCCTCAAATATGTTTAAATTCAAAAAATTTTAAAACATTTATTTATTTATTATTTATTTATTAATTTATTTTGTCTTTTTGAGACAGGGTCTCCCTGTAGCCCCAGTTGGCCTAGAACTTACTATGTAGATCAGGCTGGCCCTGAAAGCAGAGGTCCGCCTGCCTCTGCCTCCTTTTTTTGAGACAGGGTATCTAGACCAAAGTGGCATCCAACTTCCTTCCTATGTAGCAGAGAATAATCCTGAATAGACCCTTCCTCCACCTCCTGAGTGTTGGGATTACAGGTTGTGCCACCACACCCAGTCAGTCATACCTCACTCAGTTATAAGGTGCTAAGGATATAATCCAGGGCCTCATGCATGGTAGGCAAGCCTTCTATCACCTATGCTACATCCCCAGTCCTCACAAATTTGTCACATATACTAAAATAAAAAATCTCAGTGGTCACTTGGAGGGATGCTAGGGGACTAAGAAAAAAGAAGATAGCATTTATTGTGTTTTCCTAATCAAACTGTACCTCCAAATAATTATAGTGAATGAAAGAATAACAAAATACCAACAAGTTGCATCTCTAATGAATTAATGGGACTAGCAATGCTCATCAATAGCTACTGATACAACAGAAAGAAGAACAGTAACACATTAGTGAAAGCTCCCAAAACCATTTATGATGCAAAAAAAGAAAAAAAAAATCTGGTGATATGGCTTAGTGGTAGAGTACTTGTCTAGCACATGCAAGGCCCTAGCTTCAATCCCCAGTACTACACAACACAATACAACACAACAAAGCAAATGACAAACACCAACAACTTTTGTAGGTGATTACATTTTTCAAAAAGAAGTTCTTATCTTTTAAAGACATATACTGACGTAAGACAGTTCAAAATACTCTATGAGGGAAAAACAAGATTAAGCATATTAACCACAAACTAATGACTGTTTAGGTCAAGTCTTAAATGTATGGAAGCTTATCATACCTGTCTTGTTTTCATGTATACATAAAAGTTTCCTTAATAAGCCGGGCATGGTGGCGCATGCCTTTAATCCCAGCACCTGGGAGGCAGAGGCAGGTGGATTTTTATGAGTTCAAGGCCAGCCTGGTCTACATAGTGAGTTCCAGGACAGCTGGGGCTACAAGGAGACCCTGTCTCAAAAAAGACAAAA